TCGGAAGGGTCGCATAGGCTTGCTTTTCGCAGAGACCCATTTACATGTGCGTGAAAAAGACCGTGACCGAGGCTGATAGGTAGCGACACGAAGTTAGTATGAGACATTCCTATAGTTCATTTGTAAGCGCACCTTTATGTGCATAACATTAGAATCCAAATTTCTGAGTGGCATATTTCTCCTTTTCTGTAAGATGTCACGGTTTTTACCGCATCTATTTAGGTAAAGTCTAAAAGGCGTGTGTTCGGTCAGAAAAGCAACACATTCACTCCGTCACAGTGTATATATACACGTATATGTATTTAGTACAAATGAATAACTTAGATATTCATCGTAACACACACACAACAACAGCTGGAAACACTCTGCCTGACTAACGACCGAAACAAAACAATCGTGGTATTTTCTTACGAGTATGAAAACTCTGACTGGCAGTAAAACAAGGGGTTCTTTTTACTCAGTAGTATATAAGCTCGGACTGCGTAGGACGTCATTAGTAGACACGTTTTATTAGTATATTAATAGACAGGTCGCTATTTATTACGCCTATTTATAGATACTGATCATCGCGGCACGACGTGGTTGCCCTTCCACGAATTTTCGGCAAAATGAAAGACGAAAATACGGACTATTAAATAGTTACGATTATAGTTTTCGTAGTTCATTACTCTTTGTATGCATTTACATTTTCTGGATGTTTTTAAAGTTATGATCAAATATGTATATTATATAGTTTTGTGTACACTCGTCACGTGCTTGGAACAACGGTTTGTTTCCTCCCTGTATAAACTATGTCGCAGAATTGGGCGTTGTACACGTCAGATACAGTATTTAAACAGACAGATCCACCCTTTAGCTAATGTTGGAAAAAAAAATAGGTTTGGCCATTTTGAGTAAATGAATATACATATTAACCAATCACATTTAGCTTCTATATTTGTGCGACCGCCGCAGTAAGCCTGAAACACAGCGGCGAAACATAGATAGCAAGTTTTTTAGTAGAATGAAAGTGAGCCTTATAGTGAACCTGCTTGTCGATGCAAGCACCTGAAAAGGACCTTTTCTATTTCTAACAGAAAAAAATATCGAGCGTTGAAGAGGTTCACGTTTGAACGGAGAAGGCCAATAATGTGTGATGTCCGTTAATCACAGACAACGACATACAGTACAGAATGTGTTGGGCTGAGGATATTTAAAAAGCATTACGGCATAATTAAACCACTATCATATATACTCAGCTTGGTTGACAATACAGCCATGTGAAGTAAACTATGACCTTGATTATATGCTAATCCAGTTAACAAGAAGACAACACCCGAATGAATGGATCGGCATTTCTGACCAGTAACTAGGCGAAATCCGAATGAAAGCGTCACCTCAACTTCAGGAAACTATAGTGGGTTGTATTTATACATTTATTTATATATTTAACGGTAAGCATACGGTCGGCTGTGGTCTGCCTTATGGGATAGCGATGGCACGTATATTGGGGACGCCAGAACGAAACCCTGAAGTGACAGCCACAAACCATTTTGCAAAAAAGTCTTCTTTGGGTGCAAGATCGAAGCGCACCCATGAAGAATATTGCTTATATTTTTGTTGAAATAGTTCCCGTCTGTTTCGTTCCTGGTAAATGCCTGGAAGTATTCGACACGGTATTAAAATGATACAGTTATACGTTACTATGTAAGCACAAAAATAATTTATATATATAATCTGTATTATATATATATAAATTATTTTATTATTAAATATTTATTTAATGTTTATTAAATAATCTATATTATATGAATCTGCAATTGCATTGACTAGATGAGATTATTTTCTAAATTCTTAAACGAAAAATGATTGCTGTTGACTTCAATTAAATGAAACATTATCATTAATATTATTTAATTATTTAGCTCATTTGGTGATAAAATTTAGGGCCGTTGGAATCATGCCTGATTTAAGTAGGACAGGATAGATTGCAGAAGCTTTGATTCTTAACATAACATATATGACTGATGACGTGACAAAATAATATGCTGGTGGACACGTTTTAAAAAGCTGAGATTTTTTATCATATCGTAGAAGTGTAATGATTAAGCTGGTTTGAAACACCGTCACTCTAATTCATATATATATGTATATATATATATATATATATATATAACTTTGTTCATTTAGATGTTTTAGACGAACTCTTGTGGATCAGACTCACCTGCAAATACCACAGTCGATGCCGGAAAGCTGGAGTGTCCTTAAGTGTGTCTATTATCGTACACTGACTTAGAAAGGTAAGTAATTAAAAAAACATATCATCATCTGTGCTAGGTAAGTATAGTTTCCGCTTAGAAATAGGATAGGGGTAAAATCGGCCTAATTCGTTGGATAATGATGGTGCTTATTATTATTATAATGAATGACTTTTAACGTTATCATATTCGTACGTATTACGATACAATGCTATAATGATGCTTTCTCAACGGCCTTATCCTTTAAATCTTTGTCTATTCTGGGGCAGTCTGAGTTTCAGATGCAGCATCGACCATGTACTACTACTGTAGCACTCTACTTGGGCGATTTCAATACTATGTTACTAAATCGCTTAAGCTTCCTTTATCTTCAGATCGTTTACTTTGAGCAGTCATAAGGTAAAGCTTGAAAGCCTAAAAAAGGTTAAAAACAACAATGTTTAAAATAACGTAACGGATACTTGAATGGTACCTATGGAATCTCTTTTTCGTCCAGTGACTTGGAATATCAGTTTGTCCTGGAACTAGAACGAAACAGATGGTTTTATCGTGAGCTATGAGAGCCAATGGGGCTATTTCTAACATACTTTCGCTGCATCACCAGCCGCTAAAAATCTGCTTCTGCTTTTTCTACGGATGCGTACTGATTTGTAACGTGGCAGGCACATTGCTAATTTAGTGAAACTATATAGGTTTATAGGTTCGGTAGGGGGTTCGTTCAGCCTAAATAGATCAACATACTTGAGCGGACAAGTTACGGCGCATTTGAAAGGCAGCAGAGCGAAAGTATGAAACTATACTTATTGTTCATGGCTCGAAAACGCCAAGCATCTTGCATCTACTGCTCGAACACCTGAAGTAGGCCTGCGCAGACGGCTGAAATCTGGGTTGTGGGTAATAAATTTAGAAAATACTGGATCTTTTTCGCTAAAGGCAAAGGCATGCAATCACACACTTTCAACGATCGCGACTTCTGTTGCCTCAATCATATTTAGACATATACGTTTTTTATGCTAGTTTTCTATGTACCGTTTCATGTTACGAACTCTAAGTAACTCTAACTTATTTATGTCGATGGCGAAAAGGCAAAAATGGCGGCAAAACATTTATTGAAACGTGATGGCTACAATCAGTACAGTACGATAGAGTAAAATTACTTAGAGGAATTGTAAATGGTGTAAGTGGGCTGGGCAAGTTTTGACCCAAATAAAAAATAAGTACGATAGAGTAGCCTATAGATAACGAAAGAGCGTAACGTAAAACAAATCTTTACCCCCTGAAAGCTTATCTATACAATTAACCGCTAGCTTGTTTCATTTGATAATAATTATAGAAAGCGTATTTATCAGTTAAATTAATTAATTATCAGTTCTGTCTGGTACTATTTTATCAAACGTCGTATTGCACATGAGCTTTGTTTACCTACAAAGGCTTCGGTCTATTTTTTTCTTCTCCGTCTGTATGACAAAATCACAGACAGTTTAAAACACACAAAATATTGAAAGATATGGGAATAGAATAATTAAATCTACACAAAGAGAAATTAAAAAGAAAATAATTAGAAATACGGAAGCTAAAGTATACTCTAAAAATCCAGTTGAATGTGTTTACTAAGTAGTTTCTGCTGTCGATATAGAAAGCGAGCGAGCGAGAAGGTTGACGTTGAGCGGAAGATGTAGCTGACAATAACGTGTGTAGATCTGGAAAATCAGGATCAGTCCGTTTTCTCTAAGCTCTGAAAGATGTTAATCCCTCGAAATCGAGTCTGTTAAAGCATTTCAGCTACCCAATGCTAAACTCCAAGATAAATTTATGTGTATTGATTATGAGAAAACAACTTAAAGGCTGCAAAGGCTTGTCGCCTCTTATCGGCTACGCAGGAAAAAGTTGTTTATCATCGCATGTTACTTGGGAAGGCGCAATAGTTGGTTTACCGGCAGCTATGTTCCACGATGTACCGAATTATGTTTTGCTATGAGCCGCTCGTTGAGAATCATGGTAAATGCTTACATTTTGTACATTTTAAAAACATTTCAAAGACTTTATTTCCAGTACTTGATGTCATAAAACAACACTGAGGCAGAGACGCCCCTAAAAACTCTCTACTTTTATCCCTCGATCAAATATGTTGAAACGCTTCATATCTGATCCGGGAACCAGGTGTCTGACGAGCCCTCTGTCTTGGCAGTCTTTGACAAGTCATTAACGGCTAATGAAAGGCGGCATGTACTAGTCGTGTTGCGCACATGCAACGCTGGATCAGCTTGATCACCGCAAAGGAAGGGAAGGTCCGGCAATACTGGCAATGTGGGCCAAGGTTCCGCCTAATCGAACGTCGTTATAGCCTGAACTATTAGTTAGATTAGCACGCACACAGGAAAAATGGAATAGATGAGCCTTTCTCTTACAAGGTTAAGGCCTAGTGGTGTATAGATATATATAGTGCGATAACCCTCGGCCATGCATGGTTGCCACTAAAAATGCGCCCATCCCTAGTAAATCGAAAAGGTACAAGCGTTCAACTTAACGAATCTCAGTGTGATCACATTAGTTGCTTGTTCAATTTATATAATAGAGAATGCAAAGGGAACTTAAACGTCGTTGTTGTGGTCTGGAGCTCGGTTTGACAATATGTTTAGGTTTATAATATAAGGCGTTTAGGTTTGCGCACGCACACGCACACGCAGCGCTATGCTTGCTTCGTATTCTATTCTACTAAGCCGAAAATAAAGAAGACAAACCATACAGTTGGTCTGAGAACATCAATGCACACGAGCTATCGGTTTCATGTTTTTATTTATTATGATACCGTTTGAAGATGTGAATTATGAGGGTAACGGACAATGACCTCTATAGCGCACTCATTACTCGATCGCTTCTTACCAATACTGTACACTAATACAATTACCTTGAGATATAATAATAACATTTGCTAATATTAGTCGCTTAGAAAGACGTTCACCTCTCTACGCGCTGCGATCAGCATTAGTCTTTGACTACGTATATATATACAGGTATATATATATATATATATATATATATATATATATATATATATATGTTTGTGTGTGTGTACAAAATAAGACTGACGAAATAATTACGCTTCACATATAATGTTAGCTTTGTCCATTTTTTTTTCTTTTTTGTTTATTGTTTTGTTCATTCATCATGCTTATGTCGACGCCATTTTATCGCTTTCATCACATCAGCGGTGCCATTATTTCAATCTACACTCGAAAAATAAATTACCATTATTACTCATCATTGACATAGTCAAGCCGGGTCCGTCGTTCACTCTCATTATGCGTTAATTACTTTTTCGTCCGTCACAAAGATTGAGGCTGCTTGTTGCTCTCGTGCCCACATCTGTTCTTTCTTCCTTCAGTACCGGATCATTTTTGCTGCGTACATTATCTCCTATTGTCAATTAGTCTATTGTATAATATATAACATCATCATCAACCTCCTTAACTATGGGTGTGGTAATTGTAAAAATGTTAATATCAAACATATATAGATATATGTATGGAATCGCGGCTATCATTGCTATTATCAAATCAATGTCTTGCCTTTTCTAGCTTCAGTAGTAGATTCACGTGTGGCCGATATCTTTTGGTTTTCTTCTACCGTTTGCGTCAAGCTAATTATTATATACATATACATATATATATATATATATATATATGTATATATATATATATATATATTATCTGGGTTCCTCCAGGCATACCTCCTTTCCAAGTTTTTTCTTATATTATGTATTCAGATGGTTATCATTACACTATGACAATTATTATCTTGACATTAGCAACAAAAATAAAAAAAAATAGTCATTTTTGTAAATACCCCATTAAATAATAGTAATCGTTATTAATGTTTTATAGTTTGTAATAAATAGCTCGAATAACAACGACTGGAAAAGCGGAGGAGGCATGTGCCATCGCAGCGAAAGTAAAATATATCTCCGTTACGAAGTGTACATGACCGCCCGCACAATCTCCGATATGTACAAGGGCGCGTTTAGCAAATAACAGGCGGTGAACACACCTTACCCCTCACTTAAAACCCCACGGAGGTGGTACGACTACCCCCAACACGTGCCGGTTCTCTTCGGTATATTCAACGTTCATCAAAATTAGTAGAACACAACCAACAAAACAACCTTGGTTCAACTTGTTATCGGCAGCCACATATCATTCACGCCCCTGATCGATTTTTCACTAGCTCATCATCGATCAGAATGTCAGCAGGTGCTGACATGCCACCTCACGGTTAACACAGCTCAATAAACTTTTATTAACACGTATAATAATGTACGTTGGACAATGCACGAACACTGTCGTAGAGAAGCCATAATTTATGGATTAGGTTTGCTCACTGGTGATTCCTATCTCATTACGATAGTAACACAGTGACATTATGTACTTAAAATTTGGGCTGCGACATTTGTTGGGTTCTGCCGTAGTAGACATTCCTAATACGGCCTATTTTTCCCGGGAGGGGGAGAGGAGGAAAGGGAAAGGGTTAAATGTGTGACGCCAACATACGTGTATATTGTTGAAATTGGATTTTGTTTGTACAATGAAATGGTGTAGTGACTTATCGTGTTTATATTTGTGACATCTCATCAAAGATCCTTCGATATTATTACATTTGCCCTAATTTATTGGAATATATTTCAGGCAGGCTTGGTTATTGTCGGCACGATTTTCACGTTGTTGAGCAAGGAACCGTTTACGAGGTTAGATGCGAGGTTAGATATACAATGAAGCGATTCATTACTCGGACGTATCGTGACGTTCTCCACTACTCGTTGAAATACCGACCAAAATCAACTGATCGAAGAGACAACCAATGAAGCGAAGTGGACGACCTCCTGGGAGAATGACAATGGTGTGATCTCTATATGTATACTGATATAGCACATTCTAATTCGGTCTGTTTTCAGCAATACGAACATAGGGACCGATTATGTCGTTTATAACTTCTAAATCATTCTGTTGTAATAGCTTTCTCTTGCGGTATTTTTCAGTCTCATTTTTTCTGTACAGGAGTTCTAACAACGTAGCCTGTTGTTGACAGCATCGGGAAAGCAAGCGATCTTTTTTGGCAGTTCGGCTTAATGGACGACTTTGATGAAGTCGGGTTTCGGCCAGCCTGAGGTGATGTGTCGTACGCGAACAAACAAGAACCCGGCAACTAAAGACGAGACAATAAGGAGAACAAGCATTGCAACGAGCGCGACTGTAAATCCAGCCAGGGGAACGCATAGCCGGTCGCCTGAAAGAGGACTTGAGTAGACGGTCGCCGTCTGATTAGCGAGCTCCTGTCCGAGCGAGAACGCTACATCGCCTGGCGCTACCACCTGGATTACCTTCGTCGTCTCAATGTCTTCCGTGACGTCTCGCCGCTGCCTTATGGCACGTGGCTTTCCACCGGCGACGCTAACCACGGTCGTTGTTACCTCAGCGGACAAATCGCCGTTACGTTTGTCGATCGGGGTCTCGTCATCCTCGTCAGCGGTGTCAGGCTGCACGTAAACGGGCTTATTTTCGGAGTAGGCTCCATGGTGGTCTCGGGTTGTAACGGTTGCCCCATGATCGTCGAACTGGGCGGGCGTCTGGAGGTGATCGTTGGGGCATTTCGGTTCTGGACACTCGTAGCGGCAGACCTGAATGACACACTGGAAGTGAACGTTCATGGAGTCAGGGAATTTGAATGCCTGGAAATAGGCGTACGACACGACCGATGCAGAGGAGCCGAAGTTTTTGATCTTTTGGAAACGCGACATGATCTTTGGCCGAGCAACACATCCCTGTTCATCTACCAAAGCAATGGGTTGATGCTTGCCATCGTGGGCAACACAATTCCTAACAAGCATGTCGAATTTGTTTTCGTCGTCCTTGATAGCCAACACCTGCAGATGGCACAGATTAGAAATCATCATCAGTCATCAATCTTATGAGCTAAAGACAGAGTGTAGTATTTTTTTATAGTAGCTAGCATTAACTTCTAAAGGTAGTTCCACTTTGTGTATGTATAGCCAATCAAAAACGTTCTCCAAGTGCTTTGAAGGTTGATAAGAAGCACCTAATCATAGGCAGTCAGCTAGCTAAGCAGAGCACAGCTAATAGCTTTGCTGGTAACAAGCGTCTGCTTACCATGGTCATCGTCTGTCCAATTTTTACAATTCCAGCAACTTCGCTAGCCCACGGTCCCTTTCCAACTTGGATTTGCATCCAGCATTGAATGTTGTCTCCGAGAAAGTTCGCAGTGACGGCGTCCAGCATGTCCACATTAAAAGGCCTGAAGGTGACCGCCTTTTCATAAAAGTCATACCAGGTACAACGCAAACGGCGTGCCTGATCCCAGATTTCCTGCACTTGCGGGTCATATTGAATGATCACGGTGTCCTCAATGTACAGCCCGCCGACCTCACCGTGCTCTCCTGCACTTTGGCTCGAAGTCATACCACAGCTGCCCAGGAAGATATCGAAATTCACGGCTATGTGCCCACTGCTGGGAGGCAGATGAACGCACTTTGGGTCGCTGTAATGTCCCTTCGAGAAGATCATTCCATGGAACGGCCGGTCAAACTCAATGAACACCTTCATATGATTCTTTTCGCACTTTACATTGAGACTCTTGATTTGTGGCATATCTGGCCGACCTAGAGGCCACGCAGCATTCTCTTCGGGATCCGCGTTAGCAACAGCGTGATCTTCTGCGGTTCCGTAGAAGTGTGACTGTGCGGTCTCTTCTTGCTGCAGATCATGAGGCTTATCGATTTCCTTTGCCTTTAATGCCGGACATCAAAGAAAATATAACCGTGAGGCTATAATGCCTATAGTGCTACACGAACACACAAAGTAACAAAGGTCAATATGTAGAATGTTTGCGTGACGAAAAAGCAGATATGCATATCTATACTTTTTTTATATTATTGTGCTATACTGTACATCGGTAGCTTACTTAGCCCAAAGCCAGTATCCGAATTCGAGTTTAGAGAAGTCATTGGGTCGACTTGGGCGAGCCACGCATGTACACAACATACGTCGATAGAAAAAATTATAATACTATTTACAGATTATCCTTTTATGGCATATCGAGTGTTTATAAAGCCAAATAAACTAGTATATTAGTTAGGTGGGGCAAAAAGGGACTTCGAGGTTTTTACTTGAAAAGGAATAGGTTAACAATTAAGACACGAATCGACTTACAGCTGATGAGATATTCATTTCAATAAGTGCACACTTACTTTTTCCTCTAATATCTAAAAAGTTAGTCAGTTGGTTGGGTGGGCCTATATCTCACCTAACTGTAAGGCCTACGTCTACGATTACCGTGAGTTCAAGAGCCTGCTATAAAAATACAGTGCATAATGATTCTTGGGCAAGTCAAACTGTCAACGTAACGTGAAATATTCAAAATTTTTTTTTAAAAACTGAAAAACATTTTGTTCATCGAAGTGGGATCTTTGGTAAACACATACGGAAGAGTGAATACGGTTTCAATGCTGAAAATCTGCCAAAAGTGTCGACCATGTAACTGTTCAAAAAACGGAGATTAGATATCAAGAAAAGAAATAGGGCTGTTCTGGAGCTCGTAATATACTATCATCCCTTTAGGCAAATTCAGCGACTCGGTGTATTTTGTCTCATAATATAGTAGCAATGTAGTTTTAAAAAGATTATATATATATATATATACATGTTAAATGTTGCATTATTGCCAGATTGTGGAATGGTTGACGAACGCATGAGCGGCCAACGGCGCACTTTATTGGTTTCCGATAGACACAATCTCTCCCTCCCCGAGCTCTTCCTTTCCTCTCCCCATATCTATTTTTAGTAGGAAAGCAGAGGTAAAAGAATAAAAATAAAATACGCCTTCAAATATGTACCCAGTCACATTGGTTAGTCCCTTCTCACCTGACCAACAGCCGTAGCAAGCAGGACGCATAGAATGAACCTCTGCATTTTGTTGCCTGGAACCAAATTTAGAGCGAAATGGTCGTTAGCACCTATATTCTATTTACCCAATGCTCTGACCCAGTTTATGTGCATACATGTTAATACAACGCTGGCGTGTTGTTGTAAACGAGTCGTTCTTGGAAATGGAATAATATGTCAATATATCGTTGCTTTTCCGCGAGCTCATCTCCTGGCCGGTTTCTCTTTCTTCAAGTCGCGTACGCGTAAAGTTTGATGAATAAAGTATGACCGTGTAGAACGGGCGCTGTATATTAGATATCTGCATAATTACATCGTGACGATATTTCACGTAAAGTACCCATGTATGTATATCGTCATATACCTATAAGTACATGTCTGTGTACGAATACATTGACCATTCGTGCAATTATGCTCACACCATAATGAATTCTAAGTGGTGTACCGCTGTAACAGTGGCATTATTGGTGTCCAACAAGCACTTGATTAGCGAATAGCGCTGGCGGTCGGTAAGACGTAAGCTTCGTTTGTGGCTTTAACGGATCTCACATAAGCAGGAAGTACCACACTCGATACAAGTAGACGCATCCAGAAATTCATCTACGTGTCAGCCTTTGGCCGCTGGTGCAATTCATGGCGCGGGGGAATGCACTATACGATCTAACCGTGGAGGGGGGCAGCCATAGCGTAAGAAGATACCATAAACCCCATCTGTACTGAGTGCAAAACCGGTGTGAGCCACGCTTTTCATTACATTTTTAACCAGGTCTTGTTAGAAATAGCGAACGGCGTTCAGAATGATGAAGCAAAATTTCAACTGAAAATATCTGTAGATACAGCTCTTGAAACGACTGAGCTTCCTCAATACGATCTCTGGTCGACGTAACGTTTCTGGCTATTCCTTAGCTTCGTTTTTCTGGGCCCGGTCTCGAATCGTTACGCGTGCTGCTTTCTTAATGGGACCTTTAAAAAAATATATAATCATTATACAATGGATGGCGTATCAATGCGAGTGTTTCTTGGGAGTGTCCTTCCCGCGAATGCTTCCCTATGTCGTTGGAATTATTTAGTTTTCATGTTGTTCTCCAGTTAGTTGTGGCTTGCTTCTATACTTACTGCTCCTTTGGACCCTAAACCCTGGACCTTGCAGCTAATATATGTGGAGCCAACTGCAAAGCCGAGCAGGAATAGGCTTAGACAAATGGACGCGTCGTTCTTCTAGACTAGATTCTTGGTCCGTGTGATTTTCTATTTTTCTCTCTCTGAATCTACAGCATCAATATATTGGATCACTTTTACTCTGTCCATCATGCCTCCCTTACTACAAGCCACCTTCTATGTGAGTTTCGGCATGGCTTCGAACTTCAGAAACCTTGCCTACAGAACAGGGTATATTTTCCTCTACATAAGGCGTAAGTTCTTCTAATCTATACGCTAGGATGATATCGGTTCCTTAGATCGAACGCCTCGAAAGCGCAGTTCGAAGGGAGGAAAGATCCAGAAGAGAAAAGTGAAATTCCAGTTGGTATTATCCGGCAAAAATGCCAATTGGAACCTGGAACAAGGAGACTACACTAACTGCCGCTAGTACTTATTACGGCTTTGACGAAAGAAGAACAGGAGAAAACGACAAATAAAAATCATTTTAGCAGGCCTTTCTGTGTTAGTAGACCTACTAAAGATTTTTGAACTTTGAATTGACATATTAAGTTATTGTGTCATAACATAAGGAAGTTCGACATGTTATCCAATCGACTAATACATTCAATAATTCGTGAAAACCTATAATACACAGCTGTTCTTTTTGGTTAGTTGATCAGCGTCGTACTTGTATCTGTGTAAAAACTGCGAACAAGGCGGGAGGTCTTCATTGGGGACAATTTTCTGCTGTCCTTTTTTAGGTGTCAGTATTGTCATTTGTCGCTGTCAACATAGCGCTGGATTTAAAATGTTCCACAAAACATGCAATTGAGTTAAGGTGAGCGACTAATTATTAGCTAAAGGGTGGAAATGACCCTTTCATGGACGGGCGACCAACAACGGATTTGCCGCTTCACCAGAACCTTTTTCTGTTTGTCAATAAACGATTTTTAATTGAACAAAGCAATCTTTTACAGTTCTTGTGGTAGCAGTCATATTCGCTTGACAGGATGCAAACGCGACGCTTGGTAGCAAGTGGCGCCGGCAGTAGTGGCCATCAGCTGAAGCCTGGCTCTAAGACGGAACGAACTAGCATCAGCAATTATTAGAAATGCTATTGTTACTGCTGCTGGCATAACTGGTACTGCATCACCAGCTGCCACTGGAAACCACCCACACAGTTTCTTCTTGATAGCAGTGACAATGGTACTGCTTTTTCAGTGTGGTCCACTTTCGAGCGGACTCTCTTCGTTTAGCAGCACGTGCCTGTTTCTCGTTGCCACTGCTGGATTGGCTGTTTTTACATTGCTTTACTCCGGCCTGACGTTGGACTTCACAATCGTAACTGCTGCTGCTGTTGTTAACAATGATCGTGGTAGGTGCACTCTATATTTGAACTGTTTGTCCAGCGGCCGTCTGTTGGCCTATGTTTGAAAGGGATCACTTTGACAACGGCATCAGAAGTGGCAGTATACAACAACAGCTCGCTATGGACTCGTCCATCTGCACGCCCCTGGGTTTGGATCAACGTTTACGTCTGCTACGCTTGTTAACTATGTCTTTGCCGGCAGTGCTGGTGCCAGACAAAAAACAGATAGACAGACTGACGAATCGACATGAACAGGAAGAAAAAGGAAAAAAAATGTAATGACGCGACTGGAAGCCGCTGTTAGCTGTAATTCGTTCGAAATCGTATTTGCATCGCAAAAGCTGATGTAGGAGCACACGCCGCTACTCGTACGGTCGCACTATGTTGGTCGTAGGTGCTGCTATTTGAAGTGCTGACGACCCGGGTTTTTTAGAAGGTGCTATTGCAGCAGCTGCTGCTGCTGGAGTGAACGCCTCGAGCCGTGTGTGCTTATGATGCAACAGACTGACCATAAAAACAGAAAGATGTGCGTACAAGCATGTAACTTCTGTCTTGTTTGGTCCGCGTGTATGGTTCTGCATGTCATTCTTACGTTCCTTTCTCCTTCTTTCTATGATACGATAAATTTTTTATATTGCCGCTGTATAGGATTTTTTTTTATCTTATCGATCGACACTGGCTTATTGAGTTAACCAAGTACCTTCACTATTTTCGATTTTAGGCGGTATTTAGTAACCAACATCTGAGTACAGGTTTTGTAACTCTACTAATTACCATACTTCAGAAAATGTACCCTTTAATTGAAACGATATATTTTTCGCGTATTTCGAGTTTAAACTGAATTTCTGCTTTCTCACATAAAGTATTATCCGACAAGTTACTAAAGGGTTTAGCTTTAACTTACAGACCTTGCCAAAATTTATCACTTGATATCTCTTGCGTTCCTTTTCGTCGGCCCATCTACCAACAAGAACCGATCCCAATACCATCGCTGGCAGACTTACTTTCGACTCCCTTTCCGAAGCCCTGCCACTGTTGTGTCGTAATTTTCAGGCTTTTGTTAACAACGGAACCGCCCAGTTCTTCAAGTTCTTTTGTTGACTAATAATTCCAGTGAAGGCCAACATGAGCCAGCCACTCAGATCTCTATGACCACCGCCATGATGCTAATATCAGCATACCTATTACGTTAATTTGTCCTTAGTAGCATCCCTATACAATTGCGTCTTTTGGTGCGCCATCTCTTCACACGATCGTGTGTTTGTCAAATTCGCAGCTTTCTGTGTGTGGCAACTCTGCAGTGCAAATAATCAACTACTCCTACTGACGTCGTTATTCAAACCAAGACCTGCCTGTTAAGCAATGCTTGTTAAAAATCCTATCGGCTTTAGGGCTTAGGGGTAACGGACTGATATGGCTTGTTTATCATTGCTTTGTCATTTTTTCAGCCCAGATTAGAAGCGAGATTCCCCTTAGAAAAAGGAAGGGCTTTGATGCAACGTCAACCTTTTCTCTTCAAATTACCGTACCCATTTTTTAATATTAGCGGGACAAGCGTCAATTATATTGCCGTCACTGCCAACAGATAGCGTTAACGTAGCACGGAAGGGTCATAAAAATGACCGAATCATTATGATAATTATGAATCGATGGAGTGAACGTTTTCAATTCTGATGGACATACCTACATAGTTCTTCAGATTGCATAATACTGAACTAACACCCATGGCCACAGATAGACAGTCAGATCGTGCCATCTGGCAGCTGAATACCCATAGCCTAATGATTCGTTGACTGTAGCCTCCCCTCACGACAATCTTTTGTACTATTTGTTGACAAGTTGGATTAATGTATAAGAAAAGAATTAGTGGATAGTAATTCCGGCATAATAAGGTCCACCCATTGTGGCCTAGCCACAAATTCACAGGCTTACGCTAGGTAGATATTGTTTCATTGGGCCAAAACGCGAAGGAAACACTATTCAGAGTCTCTTTGAAAAATTGCATGTTTAAGTTGAGCTAAGTTATACCTTTACAAGAAGATCGATAATTTATCGTATTTTAGTTTACAAATAGAATGAGTTAAGAACAAGACGTAACTGTTTCTAGTGAAGGTAAACAGATGTCTGCGACCGAAAAATTAAAAAAAAAACACATACGATAACGGTAATTGCAATTGAGCATCTCAATGATTATGGTGCCTATGTTAATGCTGACCACTGTTATTATTGTTATGTCGACGGGGGGTGGTGACGCTACAAGGGTCATTACTTAGATATTGTTATTGTAGTAGCTCCCAATTCCTGTTCGGTTCAACGTTGCCACATTTTAACAACTCTTCCTAGATGGTCATTGCCTTTCTGCATGCTGCTGATGTCTTTTCCTTCGTCAACGATAGATAACAGCAGCAGCGATACGTAAAAAAAGCAGCTTCGCCAAACGTGGAAAGCGTCAATTGCTTCTACGAATGGATTGACTGCTGTGTTTTTCGCCACTGCGACTGTGGATCCACTGTCATTTCATCACGTAATCGGTGGCCATGCCAATTTAAGCAGAAGGCGCAGCGGTAGCGGTGCGTTAACCGTGATAGTAATGGTCGCTACGTCGGCCATGGTATGTTTTGTTACGTCGCCATTGTCGGTCGTTAGTCCGTCGGTCCATCGCCATGCCACTTTATTCTGCACTAGCCACATCGCTCTGCCACATACTCCCTGTGTTGTTGTAGCAGCAACAATAGCAACAGCATCTGTAATCGGTGCGCTTAGTCATTTGAGTATCTTTCGTACCGTGGATAGGAAGCTCGACGTCCTATGCCACGTCGGTGTCAAAACCGGGCTGAATTAAGTAATCCGATTGTAAGCGGGAATATGAGTCTAACCGCGGAAACAGCAGCAATGAAGTAACAACAATGGTAATAGCAAACTGAAACTACGTGCATCTAAACGAACGCAGACGCGCTTCTCCCAGCCCTGCTGAAGCCGCTACCAACGCTTTCAATTTTTTCTTTTATCGCTAACAGCGATGGAAACCGTGGGAATAGCACGACAAAAAACAATTCCTTTAGGGAATCCGGGCCAAATCTATGATAAATTCATTGATAGATGATCGCAAACATCACTGATTCCTTCTGCAGTTAATCTGGTGTGGTAAGGAGGTGTAGGAAGGGGTACGCGCTCACGTATTTTGATAGATGAATCATTGAAAAAAGACTCTGTTACACGATCAGGCACTAGCTGAACGTAGGGAACACAATAACAGGAAAACCCCATTGTAGTTCCTTTAATAAGGCTTTTTCCTAATGCTGTTGAAACGAGATCAAATCCCATTGTGCTCTGGTCAACTGAATGAGGAAATCAAAATCGATGCGTGAAAAATATGCCTTATCCTAAGTGGGCTTGCGCATCTGTATATTAGTGAAGATGTATTTGATTGGCTTGCATAGCTGGCAGCATAAGTTTTCCGCTCGAATCATCCATCCAGCGACTCTTCACCGTGTAATATCTGCATCTCGTTGATTATGTTGTTAGCACACGAGAGAGGCCGTTCAAAGCTGGCTGTCTAAGGAACCGGTTGTGTTGCCAGTCGTCGTGGTCTTTGCCTTAGGTAATGCTGTTTCCACTGCTGTTGGCAGCGCGTTGTGCCACTGCTTGCAGGTCAAAATAAGTCTGTTACAAGAATAACCTGAGGCGTTGCTCCGGGCATTTCTGCCCTTAGCCGGAAGGAACGGAGTAGTCGTAATTTGTTAGGGGGCAGGCCCAGGGATTGTTTTTAAAAATGCCCGAAGGTAAAAAGTGGTGCATCGCAAGAAAGAGCTCACCTGCTTTCTTTCTTAGCGATCTTCGTCACCGTTGGTCTTCCGCTTACTTAGCTCGGGTCTCCCGGTAGAGGGTTGTTGGGGTGCTGACAGCAGGCCCGGGTGACCCAAAGCCTCTTACGAATTCAGCGATGAAATTTTGATGCAGCGGCGGCTATGGCTGTTATTTTGGATTGTGTTGTGCGGTACCCATGACGATGTGGACCTCTAATGTATTTGGTCATGTTAGTCCGTGTGTGTGTGTATCTATTATAATATTCGAATGTAAGATCAACAAGCATCGAGCCCAATCATACCAAAAATGGAACTAAAAACATTGCAACATTTTCCGTCGATGTGAAAACAAAATCTGTAAATTTGAACGTAATTCTCATACACGTTAGGTTCACAGATTCGGTATAGTGTAAACGTGATCATATAAAGTACCTCATCTCATATATGGATTTAATAGATAGTAAACGTTCAAAATTAGTTTCAACTTAGGGTAACTGATGCTTAACTCCCGACGATGTATGGCGTGAAACTTCAATGTCCAAGTGTGGACAGCATCATTATCAAGCTAGCTTATTATTGGTTTATCATTGAAAGGGAAGCTTTTGTCCAAGGTAGTTATCTTGTTGATTGTTATAGTAGTAATAGCAGTGGCTAAACTGTACGAAGCAGAATATAGCATTGGAGCGTAAATTTGAATGCATACAGGTAGAATTTTCTCGTCATAAAACGGACGTGGAAGCAAAAGTTCCAAAGTTGAGTCTTTTTTGCGGGCGCTGAAGCAGTGAGTTGGAGTAATTGTTGGGTTCTTCGTTATCGCCTTTAGCACCGACGTAAATGAAGACACTACCATGCTCTATTCTACTCCACCAGCCCTATTCACTCGTATATATACGAGTATATATATATAGCTACGTGTACTATATAACTGCGTCCGTTTATAGCTTGGACTAGAGGATAATCTGATCCATTTTCTGATTGGCCATTCCTTGAGGGAATAAGAACTTCCTTTGTGCTAAGAGCAAACCGGGTAACTTGGAAGCTACGAGCGCAGTCTTAACATAAAAATAAGACTTTTTTTTTAATGAAAAACTTGCCTGTCGTCGGAAAATCTAGTATCTGCACAAAATCTTAAAAACAACACTTTTTATGGCTTTGATTTGCAGTTCGTGTAAAAATGCGGGCTATGAGTGAACGTAGTTGATATTGAACTAAACCCTTAATGAAGCGATGTATTGCTATTTCGTGGCCACGTCTACGAGGATGGATAGGAGGAACTGATTGCAAGTTGTCCTGTCACAGCGAACCTCTCCAGCTGGTCGATTCCGCCACATACATTCAAGTAATATTTTTGCGTACTAAGTGCTGAGGACCTTGCAAATCCTCTTATCCTACAGTGCCCTGTAGCCTATATGAGGGTGTGTCAAAGAGTTTTAGAGTAAACCTGCGGCATTAGCACTGATCCACGTAAAACTCTTTTTACGAAACCTATTCATAGAATACCTATATATAGTAGGAGTTCTATAAGCGCCCATCGTAGTAATGATGACGATTTGGGCGAGGGGGGATCCCACTTCCGGCGGAAGCTAAGTGCATTTAACATTACTACGAATTCTTTGCGCGTCGATCAGTTCTTTAACAACTTCCTTTCTAGCTTCAGTCAAAACTTTCTGATCAATCAATTCGTGTCCAGAATCAAGCTGTGGGAGGTTCAATGAATATAACTTAGTTTACTTCTGCGATCGAGCTATTAAATATACATATACATGTAAGGGGTTTCAGTGAGAGGAAGTAGCGTACCCAAATAGAATGCAGTGCGACAATGTAAAGACGTCTGCGTGGCACAGGTGGAGATAATTCTGCAGCCAGTCACTGAAGTCATCTATCATACGTTGTTTTTAGGTTGGAAGAAGACTACCCCTTAAATCTATATTAATATATGAAATAAAATAGCGAGCGTTTTTCCAGCATTACGTTTCACATAGTACCATTACACGAGCGGACGACGTGATATAGCTTTACACACAGCAGTAGCAGACAAACGAATATGGCCATATTCTATACCTTGGCCAATTTAACAGCTTACACGCTAATTTGGATCATCATTATACAAATTCGGGACGATAACTTAATACAAAATAATCTAGCATAACAATTATGCCGGGAAACGAAGAAATAATTAAGATTCCTATGAGGACCGGATGATTCAATACCCTCCTGTGCCCTCTGTTGTTAAATTAACGAACCGCGTTTGGTCAATGACCTTTGTCTGGACCACAGTGCCATTGAAGACGACATATCGTGATTGCCACTGAAATAGGCCTATTTCGAGCTAGCTTTGTTCCAACCCGTTGCGGCTCCTTCTTGTGGGCCGCAGTTAGAAAGCGAAAGTACTTGTGTTACAATAATATCCGCATATTGTGGGTGTTTCTAGATAATGGACACTTGACGCCATCGTGAAAGTTAGCCAATATCTGCATGCGTTGTTTATCTGTAGAGCTGGAAGAAAATGATTGCTACTGACTGAATAGAACGAATTATATCTAATTTCAATCGTCTTTTTTTAGACTAAACGCCGGGAGCAATTTTACGATCATCAAAAACTGAACAGAAAAAGGATAAAAGATTGTATCTAATAAACATTGCATAATCCGCTATACGAATATAAATGAAATTCAGTGGTGGCTTGAGACGAGTGTGAAGATATATAGAATCATCATGAATAGAAAAGTAACAATCGAAATAGAAAAAAAAAAGCTTGAACAAACGGTAATAACCACCCGTATAAGAAAAAATGAATAACTGGCTAATTAGATATGCTATTCCTTTCCATATCGTGACTGTGGCATCCACTTTGAATGGCCGGCAATATAACGTCCGCAAACGACCATACTTTTAATAGAATGAAAACATACGAGCACAAACGCGCATATATATATTAACGATAATATCAAAGCCGTATATATATACCTCGAAGATTAGATAACCATCTAATTCGCTCCATTATACAGCTACCTTGACCATTACATATACCGTCACCCTATCATTTTATATAAATATAGCTGCCTGCATTATATTTTGTGATTTCTACTCTCAGGTATCGATACAAATGGCAACTTAATTAATTACCTAAATAAACTTCGCAATAAACGAATTATGCTGGCGTCGCTTTTTTTGTAGAGCTAGATGCAGTATCTTCTAATGTTTATGATTGCAATGTTTTTAGGGAGGAAGGTGGATGTAGTAGATAGTGAAAGTGTTGCCTATTTTGTGAAAGCTGTGCAATGCCGTGTGGAGACTACAGATGAGCATCACTTCCGCGACAGACGTAGCGTGTCCGGTACGCGTACCTTATTGCTGACGCCGTTACTGAAGATAGCGGCACTGACGGCATTTGATTTCAAGCTTGTAGCTGCTTCTGTCGTTGTTGAGCTCCTGGGATTCCACGGCCATCAGCATCACTCCAGCTGGCTGGAGAATGTTATGCAGCTGCCATAAAAGCATACATGTTACTCTCACCACCTCCAACAACAATACACAGTGTTACTGCTGGCGTAGATACGTCTGCACTCACTGTCCGTTTTTTGGGTTGAAGTACGTTAGCTAACTCGTAAACAAGACATTACAGTATGTGAGAGGAGTGTGGTTCTGTCAATAAGAGCAATGGACGATGATTCTTGTGCTGACGTATACTGAAATGACGATGATGACACTAATGGCTATAGCAATTGCAACGCTAACACCAGCGACGCTGAAGGCGTTCTGCTGCGCTAATCGTTCTGCCTGTCATCTCCCATATCGCCATCGCCACCGGAAGAGAGTCGCTACTTATGAGGCCTTCGGCAGTAGGGCAAGTCACCGCACAGGGTCGCCAGGGGCGGGCTCTGCGACGATGGCAGTTGCCAAGCAATGATTCCCTAAAGGATAGTGATAGTGGACAACCGCTACAGCGGTGGTCGCGAACGACGACCGCCGTTTGTAACCAGGCTATATGTAATAATCTATACAAAACAACAAAAAGCATTTAGAAGGTAAAGTAACGAATGGTTGACTCCTAGCAGAGCCAATACAATTTCTAGACCTACCATTTGTAATAGTTGCACGATGCTGGGTGGCTTACTAATGCAGTCTATATACGGATAAACAGCTAGCCCATTGTGTAGTCGTAAACACCATTGTTTTTATTTGTAGCTTACATTTTTTTTTTTTAGTATGTTGGCGGAGTAGTTCAAGTTCGCCTCTTACTCCCAACGTAATGTGGAGTCTATTCGCAAATAGACATTTACGAAAAAAGCTGTGTGTGCAGAGGAGAGAAGAAAGCAAGAAGAGCGCGATCGCTTAATATTAAACTTAGAGAACAAAATCATCCATAAAGGATAATAGACTCCATTTATCTGACTAGCGCCGTCCTAATAGAAATTATCGGCATTACATCCGCTGTTACGCCTCGGGCTTGTAATGTACTTTTTGCTATTTAAAACAGCTTGTATTTAGTAGCAGTATATCTGCGCAGTATCGCCTATCGCAATTTCACTATTGTGTTAAATAAGTTCCTCGCTGCTTATGCGAATGGCCTCAAAAGGATTGTGCCCACAACGTAACCCCACCCGTTCCCCTAAACTGTGTTTCGGGTTCGTATTAAAGTCTTATCAATATACATATATAACACGCGTATATTATACAGATACGTGAATTGTTTGTTCGTATTTACGAAGCTTTTGAATTTTCGTGACTACAGCCAAACTGTAAATATTTATATGAACAACAAAATGAATAATCGCTAGATCTGAGAGAAATGGAAATCACTTTGATACGTTGTAACAGCCGCTTTTTCCGTGCGATGTACAAATAGTGATTCCAGCTCCACCGGTAATCTGCTTGACGACAACAATATGGATTCGCATAAGGTCGACACTCATCGATCCATCCATAGAATTCATGCGTGCGTATATATATATACACCATTAGAATGAGTATCACCGAGAGACCATACTCTAGACCAATCGGTCAACAGTGGCATTCAACCGAAATAGAAGCAGCATAAGCTATCCTTTCTATCTCCCTCTTGTTTATCTCGACGGTTTCCTGCCTGTTTGCTGCTTCCCTAGTTCACTATAGTGCCTCCAAAGAGATAAGTGTCATTGAGCCAGTCAGGGGTCTGTTCCTTGCTGACCGTATCCGTCTAACTGACTGAAAACCGCGTGATCTCGATCTCGATCGATATCGAATAATAACCTGATGTCCCGTCTTATAAGTTCGTCTTTCTACAGTATTAGATCAGTCTACAGTATTAGATCTACAATCCTCATTGAATTCTGTTCTGTTCATCATATGCCGCCCTTCGTATCATTGCTTTGCTATCGTCGATCATATAGAAACGCAGTGTTCACCGATGCTCATGAGGGCTGCGCAGTCAGGAAGATAGATAAGAATACACGAACAAGAATGGTTACCTTTTGCCAACATCTACTTTGCAAAGAGAGCTCAACAGAGGCGATAATCGATGGCCGATCGCGGTTGAACCCTTTCTACGACAACAGTAAACTGTATCAATAACAATCTATAATTTGTAGAAAGAAAAGTCATTACAGCCACCTCACGTTGGTTGTCGCCTATCATTTACGTACGTGCTGTAGGCTGAGAATGCATAATGAGCCTGTCGTGCAGCCTCACTAAATACTCGACTACACATTTGGACTATTGTTTCAAGCCGCTGTAGCTCTTCGTCGTATGTGACACTTTTAGAAGGTACGATTAGCAGCCTCGTCAGTGTCACATCATAGCGTGAACAGAATAAAATTATCTTTCGTGCTCGAAGTCCAGTTGTACCTGAATTTGTTCGTTCGTAATTTATAGAGTGGGGAAGTTGAATCGTTAGAAAAGTGTTTTAGATAAAATTGTACAAAACGGATACTCTTTGTTTCAGGGTTGAAATGCAGAATGTTCTCATTCGTAGAACTCGACCTCGGTATATTTCCCATTCACACATATATATATATATATATATATATATATATAGGAATATGAGACATAAATTACGTTATGTCACGATAGGATGAGGTAAAGTGTTAATTACGAGGACCAACGCTAGTTGTTCATCCGTTTTCCCTATGAGTAAAACAACAGACAGGACACAGATTCGGTGCTACTTATTTCACCTCTTTTCCTTAGCGTACAATGAAACTGACCTTAAATTTGATATTCCCGTTCTGAAGAGAACGCTCCCATTGGCAACCACGAAAGCACCCCAATTACCAAAATGAACACTTGAATTATCAAGCACACATACCGATCGCTGATTGTCCTAGGAAGTTGCTACGCTAAACTCTATATAGATGAGAGCGAGAGGGAGAGAGAGACAGGGAAACAGCTAACAAACCACGTAATGTCCGGATCATTAAGAGTCTTAACGCTCAGATTAGAGACGCGATTACAACAGGAAGCACAGTTGCTTAATTCAGCTAGAATATATTTGCTGAGCGCGATGTATAGGGAGCCTTCTCTGATGCTCAATATGATCGAGTTGATGATCCTGCCTGTCGCAGTTTTGTTTCAATGAACCAGAATCGGTTTATACCCCGCAACGATATAAGATGTCTGCTTAGCTACATACAGCCAAAACGAACGACTGTCAGACTGTATCTATACCTCTTATCTACCAGCATCACTATCATGACAATTATAAACATATGATCGTTCACGGCAAAAATGAGCTCTGATATAGCTAGTACGGCCATGGCGACTGCAAGTTCTGTCAGAAGCGTCGCTAGAAAGAGTTGCCACTGACAGTGCTATTCCGCTGAAATTTCACCATCATTAGCCGCTACTACTATTAAGGTACCCACGATTTGTAATGAACATCTCTTGATATAGGTGCCAGTGCATGTACATCCGCTTTTGCCGTGGGGGCAGCAGCATCTACATTGCCTACTTCTGCTGTAGCTGTCATGATGTCCAATGATCGTTTTTCGATATCTCATAGATATCTACTAGATGGAAAACGGGTTAAGCCTGAGCCTGATGATTGTATTGCAGAGAAGACCAGAGGCCTGCAGATGTTGTCTTGCCACTTCGACCTTGCTACAGCTGCAGCAGTTGAAAGGTTACACTCTGTCCATTGGGAACGTCTCACAGGCCACCATGTCTTGCATTCGCAGTTTTACGACGATGGCTTAATTACTCCTCGAAAAAGAGGCACAATGGTTTCCCGCAAATGATGTCTCTCTACGCCGTGCAGCTAAGAGGATCGGCCAGTTGCCAGTTAGTCAGATGACAGCTTAATAACGTGTGGAGTAGGTCTCGTCCGATCGCCGAAACTACAATAACACACAATGTAAATGAGGAAAAAGGAGTTTGCCTCCGCAAGTAAACGTCCATCGCGAAAATTTAACCTTATTGCATTCTAAGCATTTTTTTTTTATCTTTGGTAGTGTCAGCGGTTAAGATCTACGTCGACATCGATCTCGACTCCCCTTATCAAGTGTATAGCTGATATCACTATGGGCATCGTTGCCTTTGACGCCGTCAATGTTCTATGGGAAAAGCATCTACTCTCACTGCCATGTTTGTCGCTGTTCTTGTCAGCGTCGCCCCTTGATGCTTCGTCAATTCGAACGTCCATGTCCCACTGATAGCTGAATTGGTTACGTACTCGTGTCGAACACGTTGTAGGCTAGGTTCGAACCCGAGCATAGACACGCGGTCCATATCGCGCTGGGTGCCAGCCAGCCATCTGATCGAATGTGTGCAGTCTATACCGGAGCTAAGACTCGATCCAAACGGCAAACACCAGTATCGAAGTACGGCAAAAAGAAAATAAAAGTGAAAAATTACCAAGCTCTCCCTGAATTATAAAAAAAACTACTGAACTATGAGCGTATGTTGATATGTAATGTCAGTCATCGTAAAAGCTGGTGCGCATTGCTGTGATAGCGTGTAAGAAAAATGCAATCTTACCTGGCTTTGCCTGGCCCATTCCTTTGCCCAGACAAATTTTTTATGAAACTGATCAAAATAGTTATTGAAAGGGCTGCAAATGTTACGTGCTGAAGTTCACAGCGACCGATAGTAGAGACTGCGTCTAAACAACACTGTCATAGAGAACAGTAACAACCATTGCTCATTAAGCAACTATAATTTTACACTAACAAAAACAGATTTTTTATTATCTCTCTGTTAATTTATATTATGATTTATTATCGTTTTCATGTTTTTCTTTGCTTCTGTATGTATTAAAAAATAGTAACTGCATAAAACCCGATCAAAAGCTTATTTTTTTTTTTTTAATATTAAAGACGTATATCGTGTGGTTTGTATAGCTGTCAATTTAGGTTCGATTGCGTGGCGTTTACTCAAGTGTGTTGAACTCAACTTGTTACAACTTTGCTTAGATTAAGTTCCTTGTTTAGATGTAGCAGTAGCAAAATGCTTAAGTGCAATTTGGTTGCACAATCTGTAGTCTAGGGCCGTACAGCGCCTCTTTCCATTTCAGCTATAAAAGCAAATGTCCGATTCGTTGTCTCGTGATCGGCTTTTGCCTTTATTACTATGGCTAATATTGT